TCCACCCCGTTACGCTCAGTTTGTTTGCTATCGGCCCGTTTAGTGTCCCTAAGGTTGCCAATGCGATATTGTTGATAATGCATTTTTATCTGAAGTCTTATAATGCTATAAATCATATTGATTTTAGGATGTTTTATCTGATAACATGAACAGGACCAAGGAAGGATATAAATCATGTTATCGCCTTCTCAAATGTCATAAAATGTCATCAGTTATCAAATAGTTTCCTGCGGGGGAAAAGGATTTGTTTGTAAATGGTAGCTTGTTCTGTTCCGTCTTCTTGAAGAAATTGTCTTTTCCAATTGTTTTTCATTACAGTTTGTTATTAGATATATTTAAGGGGAAACACTTCATTACTGTCATTATTCATAAAACGGCGATAGGGCGTTTACCACTACAGTAACTGTTTTGTATAAGCGAAACAACAAAAGATGAATTTAAAAGTATTTGGATAACTTCCCTGACCATCCTTTTAAATACTATTTATATTTTTAGATCAGCATAATTATCACAAGCCCCTTTGCATAAGCAATATTTTTCTTTCAATAAATTTCTTTATTTTAATAAAACGCAACAGTTCTAAAAAAAAGAACATGTAGTATCTATCTGACAAGAACTCGGAGCAGCTTTAATTTGGTTTTGGCAATTTGTGCAGTTATAAAGATTAATTACAAATCAAAATACCACTTTTATATTGTTTTCATTTTGCCGTCTTTTTTTCTCAAATTGTTGTAGATTAAGCGAGTTTTCTTTAAGATGTTAATGGAATGATTTAATTACATTGTATTTACATTATGAATGTTGATGAACGACTAAAGTTGCAGTATGAGATGACAGTGTACACTCACGAACAGACCCAATCAAACAGTTTGTAATTTTGTGAAATTTTACATACTCCTTTCTTAAGTGTTTTTAAGTCCGCAATTTAAGTCTAAATCAAAAGCTTTCCCTATTTTTCTGATTCGACTCAAAACAATTATTGTGCTTAATGTCGTTACGCTAGTGAATATAAATTGATATAAATAAGAACATAACACTTATTAATATACATAGACACCTAGCTTTTAAGTTTTTTTAAAGCAAAATTAAGAGTTTTTTTTAGTTTTGCATAAAGCACTCCTTTGGGACCAGAATATGCTATACAATTCTAGCAACTATTCAAAAATTTACATTAGTTGACCCCCTTTTCGATCGCGTGTGTTTTAGTTTTATGTACCCATGTAAACGTAATTAACAGGTTCTTGTCAAGATATTATTATCATTTTAAAACGTATATTTATTATCTAAATTGCCATTTAGAGAGACAAACATAATCTTGCATTATGTTGAAACTTTCGTAGAAGCACTATTTAGCATTTTAGCGTCAATGAAAAAGATACACGATGCTCAAAATGCTACTGATAAAGTGAAATCCAGACTTATCAATGCTTTAATGTATTTATTATTATAAAATCGTGACAACTTTTCAAAATTCATCGAATAGTTAAAACAGATCTAAAACGCATCCTTACTTCTATTTTCAATTACCAGAAAATCAATAATGCTGAAAAAACCGATTTCAAATAGAAATATGGATGTCTACTTGAACAAATAATTAACATATTGTATACCTGTCATCGAGCTTCACATACTACATGTAATGATGTGGAATCACGTTTTCGTTCCTTGAACAAAACATTAATTGATGTAGAATGAGCAAATTGTTGTCATTAGATTAGGTAATTAGAACGTAAATAATAATACTTCGGCCACCCTTAATACAACTGTAAAACATGAGTTGTATAAACAGGTCAGAATGCGTGACAATACAAAGACAAATTAAGACACAATTTTTATATTAATCCTCATAAAGCATGTATCTGAATGAACCTTTAGAATGAACCTTTAGGTTAATATAGAACTTCATAGCTGTTGCACAAATCCAAGCAATTACTGTTGTTACACGACAGCTTTCAATTTTAATTGACGTTTAGATATCATGCCTGAATGTCGTTAATAAAACATTCGCAAAGCAAATGATGTTTAAAATGCAAATGATAACATTGATGTTAAAGGAATTCTAATAGCAATGAAGTATGTTTATGCGATAAGTGCAGACTACTCCCTAACATAACGATTATGTCTGCGTTTTTTACGTTTCAGTCCGAAAAGAAATTAATGATGAATGGTTTTTGCTCGGACTGAACTGTTTTATTTACAAGTCAATTTAAGATAGTAAGGGTGAAAAGGGTTTATTATAAATTCTTAAAATATTCTTCTTTTTGTTAACACTTACTTAAAAATCATTTTATTTGTCCTAACACCATCTATATTGATAAGATTAAATATAAGTAAAAATACTGTGATGTCAACACTGATAATTCGGGAGTTTGTGTTGTGTTTTACTTGTTACCGCATTTGTTTGATGATATTTGATAAAAAAAATAACAAAATAAAACCTTGTATTTAACCATTTCTTAAGAAAATGACCTTTTCGAAAGCTTACGCTTGTATTCCCACTGTTCGTCTAGTACAAAAAACACACAAATACTATAAGTTTTTAAAAATTTTCAAATTTGCCGTGTTGGGCTTTCTTTAGGGATTCTTATTTCTCTCTATTTTCTCGTTTAGGGCACACTCATTTTTGTTTACTTGGGGACAACATGCCGCTTTTCATGGAATGGCTCTTACGTGTCACATTGAAGCTACCACGATAACCGCCATATGAACACATCTCCGGATGTTTCAAAATTCTAAATTGTACCAGTTCATGTTAAATGTTGAATTCTGCTTAAGCCGGTGCTAGGGGGCGTGGACGGTAGTTTGCACAGTACCGTCCATGAACCGGCTCGATCAAAACGAGCCTGCAACATTTTCAATTTTGCCGTGTTGGGCTTCCTTTAGGGATTCTTATTTTCTCTATTTTGTGATAGTATGTTTATGTTTCAATGGCGAAGTAGGAGATAATGGGAAATGTATTTTATTTATAGAGTTTGAAAACGTATATCATTTGTTTAGAATCGCAGGTCTGATGGCTGATAAATTAATGAAATATTTTTGTCTTACTTTGTTATCTTAAAGAGCATCACTTATCATGACCCTGTCCGCCCAAATCGATATTTACAACTCAAAAAAGTGTGGGAGATCCAGTGACGAACTATTTGTGCACTTAGGCTATGGCCTCAAACAAACAAGTTGAATATTACAAATTGTTTTAGCGCATGGTGTTTTATTTGATACTAAAATTTACAAATTTTGGTTACAGTTGAAATGTTTATCTTTTATCTAAATACATTCATAGAATACTTCCTATAAAGCTCACTATTTAAAAGTGTTATTTTAATGTGTTTTGTTTTGAATTTTTCTTCTTTTCAGGACGGGTTCAAAAGGAAAGTATATATGTGACATATAAATTAGGGCCTGCCTTTTTATGTGTTTCACAAACAAACAAAATGTAAGAAATAGTAGAGATTGGAAACCCAAATGTGACAAAGTAAGGTAATTTGAGCTCAGTTCATGCGTGCTGCTGATTTATGTCAGGAGGGATAATAAATACGAATGCTATCTATACGTGTTCTCATATTTTAAAATGTGTATTGGCTGTGCGAATAGCGAACAGTAAAGACTGTAGATGGTCGCAAGGACACAATAATTTGCCGCAAGCATGCATTGACAAAAAAGCATTTGCTATATATATACTCAATAAGTTTGTACTCAATAAGAGATATCCAATTATAATGCCTCTGCTTTCGTCGGTCTTATCTGCTAATTACAATCAAATTTTCAGACCAGCACATTGCATTGATTTTGGTCAGTATTTTGATAACATAATTAGTAGTCACGTTGCATATAAATCAACTTATCATCTTCTTAAATGTCATAAAATGTCAACAACAGTTTCTGTTAACTAGGTGCCTAAGGGAAACAAGAATTAAGCAAATAGATTTCACTTGAGTCAACTATCTAAAGAGTATTTGATGTACATTATCAGCAATGTATATACATATGGAAAATAGCATGAATTTCATAGTTTTCAAACAATGTTCTTTTCTTAAAAACATTGAACGCTTTTTATGTATACGAAATATACTTTAAAGTTAAATATGACACTGTCACACTAAGAAAACATGCAATTTCATTAGTTAGTATACCCTACTTAAAATGGTAATGGGTAACAATTTCAGGTACCAAAAAAAAACCCAAAAACAACAACAACTTTTACATCTCTGTCATAAATAAGGAATTATATCATAAAAGACAAGTTTTTCCATCTCATTGTTCGAAAATGGGAGTTTGAGTGGAAAATTAAATAAATAAAATGCTCGCCAAAAATGTTTGATTATTTTTTATGTTCTGCTAAAGCTCCCGCAATGGACAGTTGATTTTATAGCAAAGAATCCGCAACATTTTCAATTGTGTCGATTTCGAGATCTTTAGGCCTTCCCTTCCGTTTGTCATTCTTTCCTTGTTTTACATTGGAATTCCTCCAGATGAGTCAAAATATACTTTAAGAACATTAAATATAGTTCCTATGCTTTTCCAATTTGAAGCAAGACATACTTATACATATACTTTAAAGCTGCATGCCTTCAGATAAGGAAAATAAAGCTTAAGAAAAATGGACCTTGAATTAAAAAAAAAAGTGAAAAGAATCAAATTCAAGTAATAATTTATATGTAATGTGAAATAAATGACATATTTCTACTGCGAGACTTGCAGTTAGGACATTTTGTATAATCTTGACCTGTGTGTTTTTTTAATTAACGCAGATTGTTACTGCTGTTTGAATGTGTTCTTTATTTTCTTCGTTCACTTGATGATACATTTATACGTTTTTAAAACTTACACGGAAATAAGCATTAATTTTGAGGCTTTTCTCCTAAATGTTATGATTTAAAACAATGTTGTTGTCTATTTACATTGGGATTCTGCAACAAAACTCGCTAGTTTCTATTTTGCAAAAAAACCACCGCTTGTATATATAAAATCAGAACGTATTAAGGATTACGGACCCAGAAAAATCGGTATTTTCCGTGTTATTTCGGTAGATTCCGGAATGTCACGTTCCCGACCATGTGACCATGATAAATGACCACGTGATCGAAATCTGAGCTGATACAAAGATGGCCGAACAAACGCGCAATCGTCGAGGCAGATTTGCATCCTTAAAAAAAGAACCAGCTAAGCAGAAAGCATATGAGCTGAAAGAAGAACATAGCTATGTAGCAACTGATTATGTTGAAGTTAAGAGTTGCAAGACTGTGGATGGGAGTTGGAAGGAAGGCAGGCGAGTTGTTGAATTTGCCGTGTTGTTGGAGGGACTGCGGTTTTGCAAATCGTGTCGACTTGGCCCTATTCCTTTAACTATAGAGAACGTCATTGGCGAATTAAAGAAGGGATTAGGAGGATATCTAAAAGTGAAATGTTTGAACTCTGATTGTGGTCACGTGAACTGTATAGCGTATGGAAAATTAGTGAAAGGGAGCAAACAGGGTGCCTCAACTTTTGCCGTGAATACGAAGCTTGGAACAGGTAACCTCTTGAAATTTAATTCCTTATGTTGATAAATTATTGTATTAACACTCGATCTCCATCATTGATTCATTCAGTGGTCTGTTAAGAAAGTGTGTACGATTTCACACAATCTTTTGTAAACATATGTTTCGTACCCAAGCAATTTCGTACCCAGTAAATAAGGTCATTTTATATCACAGTTTTGGGAAATTTTCTATGCCAATTTATCTATTTATACTGCAGCACACTCGTCAAGAGCATTATGTGCAATTGATAGCCATATGTCTAGTTTGTTTCCATTGATGTTTTTTTTTGTAAAACATCAAATTTTTATTGAATGTTTGCCATTTGTTTATGCATTTATAATTTATTTGTTTATGCATAATTACATGTATTAGTGAAATGTTGCGCAGAAGCCCACAGTGAAATTTCATAGGCATACTGCTACAAAATGTTATGCTTTATGTAAGTGTTTATGTATTTTATGCCTTTTAATTCATCCAAAAGCATATACCGTACGCAACATTTAATTGCTAAGAATGAAATTCATTGGCCTAGAAACTAAATTGGGTTGAAATGAAAATATTGTTTCAATAGAAACTAGATGTTTCTGTGTATTTTCAGCCATGATCGTCACATTGGGAGGCCCGAATAAAGTCAACAACATGCTGGCAGCTTTGAATATACCCACTATCAGTAATAGTAAACTGAAGAAAATGGAGAGGAGGGCAGGGTCAAGCATTGAAAAAGTGGCGTCTGAGTCAATGGAAGCTGCAGGCAAAGAAGCATTTCAGAGAGAAATGGAGTAAGTATATTTCAAATGCATTTCTTAAAATAATTAGTTATTTGAAGAATAAAATGAACAAATATTAGTTACATCTGGCACGAACCAAAATTATTCTTGTGATTGGACATAAAACATATATGATATAAATCAGTTCAACGTGATATTTCGTTGAATATTTGAAAATGGGGGACAAAACTGAAGTGCATGCACATACATGTATGGAACTGTTTCACATTTGAAAATCCCATTTGGACTTCACATCAGAAATTTTCCAGAATACCTGGTTAAAGTTATACTTCTATAAAAACATTTATATCTTGTTTTCTTGTATCTTATAATTCTTTCTTTCTAAAGGGACATAGCTGTGTGTGAGTGTTTGGAAGCAGAGAAGTCAACAAACATTCTTATAAAGGACCTTGGGGTTTCTGTTCTTCCAGAGGCTTCTCCTATGAAAGAGTAAGTTTAAAAAATATACACGTTACTGGCTGAAATAAATGTTGAGTGGTACATGTACTGTTTTTCTTTGTATATAGTTTACTATACACTACTGGAGCACTCAAAATCTTCTTTGCACATGACTGTATAAATTTATAAATATAAACATGATGACACATATGTCTTTTGTCTGGTTTGCATTATATGCTACTTACATAATAGTCCTTACATTTTTACATTATTAAAAAGGCGAATGGAAACTTTTATCATACTAAGATAATAAGCTTTTGGGCATCATTCAAGTGTTATGAATGATTACATTGAAGAGCAATGGTGACCCATGTTACTACAACAACTAAGTTCACTATGGCAACTAAATCTAGACCAGATTTGTCAAATTGTCTTGATTGGTAAATGTATGTAACTATCAAAGCTTACACAATTTTTTTCTATGTTAGGCTAATGAAGAAGGAGGTCTTTCTCCAGGCTTCCACACAGAAAAGTACTCTAAGAAGTGTATGAATGAACGCAAGCGCCGAATGGAACGCTCCAGTCTTCCTTCGTCCAAGCGTCGCAGACTCACATTGAAACAAGAGAGGTGTATATGTAAAGGAGCAACTGAAGTGCTAGAAGGTGCCACATATCAGTCAGGTTAGCCTTTTATCTTGTAATGTTAAAAAGTAAAAAAAAAGTGCTACGTCAACAGCTTAGTGCACTGGGTACTTATAGTAAAGTTTTAAATCCTAAGAAAGTTGTAAGTTTTACCACTGGTCTGGTCATAGTACTGATCAATAGATGGACAGAAAGTATTGTTTTTATAAAAAGGATGTAATGTTTGCTCACTCAACTGTGCTGAATATGGTTAAGAGACCTTTGGTACTCTAACAGTTCAAATGTTTACATTGTCTTATAATTTATGATTGGACACACATTATTCTAATACAATGTACTTCAGAAATTGGTCTTCAGAATGATGTTGATGTGGAAACAATACCGGACGCTGTACCACGTGGTGATTTTAAGCCCCTGAAACTTCAAAACTCGATGCCAACATTTGTTGTATTAGACTTGGAGACTACAGATCTTAGTAAGTGTTTTGTATAACTACTTCTTATATTGGCGGTCTAGTATAGATTTATGTTCCATTATTATAAAAAATAATGTGTTGCTTTTCAATAACATCATGAATGTTTTACATATGAAAGTAACTTTAGAATGATGGAATATTTGAGCTGCGTCATGTGAAAATGGGCCTTAAGGCGATTGCCACCAGCTGGCATGGATCCATACTGGTCGGGCTCGCTTTTATATCCATTTTCTCATGATGCGGCTCATATCTGATGTGTTTTATATAAATTGCTTTTTTGTTTATTTCAGTACGAAGTGGGAAAATGCCTCATTTGACCCAGATTGCTGCCAGAGAAGTAAATAGTGGTAGTGAGTTTTCAACTTATGTTACACCGAAGTCTGATAAAGATCCATGATGTTCGCTATCAGTTTCTCTTCTTGTATTAGAGTTAGTAAGCGAACAGCATGGGTCCTGATCAGACTGCACGGATGCGCAGGCTGGTCTGGATCCATGCTGGTCGCAAACGCATTATGTTGGTTTTGTCATGACACGGCTCATATATACTGTTGGATCTCCAAATGTCATATGTTATATTGTACTGAAGATATGTTTCAGCAATTTTCTATTGCAGGAAAGCAGTATATTTCAAGTATTTTCACTCAAGGCCATATTGACATGTTTTCATTGAAATTTAGGCTTACTTACATTTTTAACTTTAGTCACAGAATCAAAACCAAAATGTTACATTGTTAATACATTTTTATTTTTTGGTATCTGCAGCACACATCAAAAAACATAACATATGATAAATAGTAGGATATTTTTCTTTGTAAGTATTATCTTTGTGAACATTTTAGTGCTTGGTGTGGATAAATAGTTCTTGGTCACTATTTGATTTTCTAGCTCTCGACCACATGTATGTATACAAGATTTTGAAGAAAACACATGATTTTATTGTTGACAGAAGGTACCTTTTCTATTGATATAAGTGTTTTTATTGCATTGCAAGTCTTGTATTGTTTCTAAGCAGAAGCTGAAGCATTATTTAATAGTTTGAAACAAAGAAAGAATAAATAATGAAATTTGACCTCAAATTGTCTCCCTTGACATTTGATACCAAACTCATAAAATGTAGTGGTTTGAACTAACTAGACGGTAAAAGTTTTTCCTTTTTTAATATTTTCCCCTTTATATCTGATAGAAACTTTGTATTTGGGTTTTATATTGTGAAACAATATTGAAAGCATTAAAAATTTGGCCAAAACATTGTGTATTTGGACATGACATGGAAAAAAAGCCAGAGTCCGCAGGGTCAAATTTTCACATAATACATTTTATTTCTTTTTCTTTGTGAACAATTGTTATCAGTAAGTAATGCATGATATAAACTAAGGTCATATGAACACAACAAGGTACATTTCACAAATATATTCCTCAATTTGGAAAAATTACACAAGATTTATAGCATCTAGGTATTTGCTCTTTGGGGTTCTTCTCGGAAAAGTGGGGTAGCCGACATCAAATGTACATATCTCATGTTTTGAACGGTAAATTTTAATAAAATTTCATATTTGGGTGTCTTAATGGATGCTTAACAAGAAATCATCAAGTATGTAACCATTTCTAAACGTGGGTTTCAGGGTCCGTAAACCTTAAGCTCTTGTTAAATGTAATTGTAAGGTCTACGTTATCACACTTCGGCTGCTGTAACCGCTTTTTGTTAACATTATTCAAACAACAATTAATTTATATATCCCGCTGAGTTAACTGCCTTACATAAATAAGTTCATTTGGTCCAATTGGCCAGTTCACTCCGCTCATATTCTTGACTGACATAAGTTATTCGTTCAAAAGAAGGCCTATAGTGGCTAGTATCACTTAAAGCATAACATATTATGTAGAAAAGAACATATCGTTGTAATAAGATTAGGTATTTAGAACAATAATGGTACTTTAGTCAGGATTAATATAAGTGTAAAAACACTACCTGTATAGGTGCATAACAATACAAAGGCAATTCAGACACAGTTTTTGAAAGAAGTGATTCAGAAGTCAAAAATAGACTGAAATATCAACAATCTTGAATACTCATTTGATTTAATTGATCCGATAGCATGACAATTTGTAATTATGCATGTATCTGAATGAAACTTTGGACGAAAATAGAACTATACAGCTGTTGAACAAATCCAAGCAATTACTAATGTCACATTATAGCTTTCTTTTTTATATTAACGTTTGGATATCATGTCCTAATATCGTTTATAAAAACAAGCAAAGTCAGCAATATATAAAATGCAACTTTAATGTTTAAAGGAATGCCAGTTGTAACAGGTTTTATACATGTGTTTAGTACACAACAAGTACAGAACAAGACTAGCAGGAAAATCCGTGTTGTCTGATCATGGTCTGCACTGTCCACTTTTCAGTCAGGACAAAGGTTTTAGAATTTCACAGTAAAATGATAATAGACGGTTTTGTCCGGAATGAACTATTGACAAGTCAATTTATATAATAAGATATTAGTTGTGGTAAGGGTTAATTACAAATTCTTGAAGATGAAAACGTCAGTTTTCTTAAAATATATCATTCTCTTCTAAAAGTAATGTAGAGTTTAATTTTTTTTATGATATCTTTATCCAATATAAAATCTTATAAAATAAAACTTTTAATTATGATTTAAATTCAAACTTGTGTAATAAAAAAGCCAGCTTTAATAAAGTATAACATTTTCTTCTGAGATTAATGAGTTTATCAACTTGTCAATTCATTAAAGCTTCGTTCATGTAAATAATGTACTTCTTTTATCTTTCCAATGCATTTGTTATCTCTCTTGTAAACACGTGTTTTAATGCGTTTTCATTGATTTACTATCTTTTCTCAACACCACGTGTATTAACATTACATGATTAAATAAGATTAAAATTAACTTGGTGCCAACAATGATAATTGAGGATTTAGGGCTGTGTGTTGACCTGTACCACATTTGTCTGCATGATGATATTCGATTAAAATAACATAATTGAACAAAAGTAATCCTTGTGTTTCTATTTTCTGGATTTTGATTTACTATAAATTGACGTGACAGTTTTAGTGATCTTCATGTAATAACAAAAAGAATACTTTTCTTTTCTAAAGCGACGGCAACTAAGAATCCAACACATCATATCATTTGTTTATAGCAGCAACTCCTTCTGGCGTTTAATTTGATACTCAAATTCATAATATTTGGTAACCATTAAAGATTTCTTCGTCGAAATGTTTCTCGTTAATTTTTCAGTTTCCATAAACATACTCATTTGCTTTACACATTATCTATCTGTTGCAGCTTAAACATTGTTGGTAATTGGTATATAATTATTGTAGTGAATTAGTATTTTGTACAAAAACAATGTCTAAAATAATAGAAAATCGAACCAAACAAGCAAACAGAAACACATAAATTTAAAATCATAAAATTTTACACAAAACTCTCGTAATGTGATAAAACAAAAGAACCATAATGGCCCTGAAATTGCTCACCTGAATATAAAAACTCTCAATTACGAGGAACAAGTAATATTGTAAAATATAAACAGGGTCTTTCAAATAGAATGGTCTGGAAATGGGCTATGTTAAACCTTCTGTCCTACAAATAAACATTTCTCGGCACAACTCGGTATAGTTTGCTATACGCAAATCAGGTAAGTGCTTAAGAAAAAGGCAAACATCATATACAAGAGCAAAAATGGAAGTTCTCACGACATGATGTTCTTTAAGAATCTTTAAACATGTGAAATAGGATAAATATTTCAGAAAAAATGTTTTAAAGGAATATCCGTTGAAAAAACATATATTGCTTGTTCAAAAAATTTGCCGATTAACGGGACCGTTTTGAAAATACACCAAATTCAACATCAATTATTTGTGAATAAAATCGTGAAATATTATAAACTTTTTATATGATACGATTAAATAACATTTTTTGTCTCTGTAAAATCAATTTTTATCTTCTCATTATTAAAAAAAAACTTTATAAAACTCGGACCCATTTTCAAATATGAGCTGCAGTAAATTTTTACCTTGACACAAGGAACGAAAAAATCCTAATTTCATTGCAAATCTATAAAATTTTTACTTTTTTAAGTAAAAACTAATAATGTAATGTAGCCAGGATTAAATTTCAGTATTGTTTTGATCGATTTAACAAAACTTTATCTTAAAATTTGATTTTTTGAATGGTGATGTACTTTGCAAGATCACGGTCGGTAAATAACCTATTCACGTGATTCAACCGAAACATCTTTTTTTCGTAAAATTGGTCCGACTCCAGACCATTCTATTTGAAAGACCCTGCTATAAACTAGTTAAATATCTAATTTACTTTTAATGAACTGATATCACCAATTTCATATTAATTTTGTATCTGAAATAATGAATGTGTAAAACAAGATTGCATTTGAGAAAAATGATTTTCCACCGCATTGATACAACACTAAATAGTAGTGTAGGAACAGCGTTTTTGTTTCTATACAATTCAAGATTGTCATAATGCATAGATCCCTGACATATCTAATATATCAATGCACTTGACTCTAGTGAATTTGGTGGTGACGGTCATATTTCAGACAGCCTAAATTTCATGACTACATCAAAAGACAACACAGTAAGACACTTTGTCAAAATCTAGGTCAGCTGATATCAAAGTTCACTTTACATCTTAATCTGCGCACATGGATCAAATTTCATAGATATACATCAAAGGACAAGTAGATCACATTATCAAAATCTAGGTCACCTGATATCAAAGTTCAATTTTACAACTAAAACTGTCAAAATTTCATTGCTGTACATCAAAGGACAAGGAAGTAGGTCACTGTCCCCTTGGGCAAGGCAAAATTTTGACCCAATGGTTTTATTTAAAACAATCTTGATACATGTCCACCAAACAACATTTTAAGTCAAATATCTAAGCTGTAGCTTTCTCACATTCAGAATTTGTTTTATTTTCCGTTTTTACTATGTGTACATTATGAGAATCACTGCCCGCGGGCAGGGCCAATTTTGACACTAGGTGAAAAATTTGAACAACTTTGGTAGAGGACCTATAGATGACATTATATAGCAAGCATCAAAGCCTTATGCCTGATACCTTCAGACAAACATATTTTTTTTTACTATATTTACATAATGAAAATCTATGAACCCTGGGGCGGATTCAATTTTGATCCCAGGGCTATAATTTGAACAATCTTGGTTGAGGTTCACTTCACAATGTTTCATTTTAAGTATTTTAACTGTAGCCTTTGTAAATTTAGAGAAGATGATATTTTATGTTTTTACTATATACATATAAGGAAAACCTATGGCCCTCGGGGCGGGGCTAATTTTGACACTAGAGGCAAAATTTGAACAACT